CCTGTAATCCCAGCTACTCGGGAGGCTGAGGCAAGAGAATCACTTGAGCCAAAGAGTTAGAGGTTGCTGTGAGCTATGACGCCAGGGCATTCTACTGGGGGTGACAAAGTGAGACTGTTTTTAAAAATATATATATATACATATATATATATGTAAAAAGGCCCTAAGACCCAAAATTGTAAAAAGCATTGATCTGTAAGATAGGAAGTATCAGCACTCTGTACTTCAGCTTGGTTGTTTTGGGGTCAAATAAGCCTCTGTATGATCACTTTATTTATTTATTTATTTATTTTTGAGTCAGAGTCTCACTTTGTCACCCTCAATAGAGTGCTGTGGCATCATAGCTCATAGCAACCTCAAACTCTTGGGCTCAAGCGATTCTCTGGTCTCAGCCTCTCAAGTAGCTGAGACTACAGGTGCCTGCCACAATGCCCGGCTATTTTTAGAGAGTGGATCTCGCTCTGGCTCAGGCTGGTCTTGTACCTGTGAGCTCAGTCAATCCACCTGCCTTGGCCTCCCAGAGTGCTAGTATTACAGGAATGAGCCCCCGTGCCCAGCCATGTATGATCATTTTAAAAAGTTCAAGATGCAATATAAGACTGATCTTTATTACTGTCATTAATTTTGGTGACTTTTTTTAAAGATGGAACAGATTAAGCGTGCAAACCGCCTTTATACTAATGACTCCATCTTCCTGAAGAAGACCCTCTACATCCCTGTCCTGACAGAGCCCAGAGACTTGTTCAGTGTCTTGGATTTTGAGGAAGAGAAAGACAGAGAGGAAGAGATACACCCAACTAAGAATGAAGTTTTGCCACACTCAGCTGAGAGGAAGAAACAAGAGACAGGTTTAGGACATGCCAATAGCAAAGTCCTCCCTGTACCTGGCCAAGAATCCCCCACACCCATCCATGACCTCTCTGCCTCTGACTTCCTTAAGAAGCTTGATTCACAGATCAGCCTGTCAAAGAGGGCTGCTGCTCAGAAGCTGAAAAAGGGAGAAAGTGGGTGAGTCTCATATGTTTCCTCCATAGACTCCTCCATTCCTCTGGTCTTACCTAACCACAGACATAAGTAAGTAAGCACAGTGCCAGCAGAAGCTTTCCCCCAGGTGGCCCCAAGACAGTGAGCAGAGCCTGTGGCTGTTGGAATGGACAGAAGCACTGGGAAGCTGGGTTCTATGTTCTTTTTTTGGAGACAGAATCTCACTTTGTTGCCCTTGGTAGAGTGCCGTGGTGTCACACCTCACAGCAACCTCCAGCTCTTGGACTTAGGTGATTCTCTTGCCTCAGCCTCCCGAGTAGCTGGGACTACAGGCGCCTGCCACAACGCCCGGCCATTTTTTTTTTTTGGTTGCAGCCATCATTGTTGTTTGGCGGGCTCGGGCTGGGGATTCAAACCCGCCACCTTAGGTGTATGTGGCTGGCACCTTAGCCACTTGAGCCACAGGCGCCGAGCCGATGATTTTTTAAGATGTAAAAAGACACCAGGTATGGTGGCTCATGCCTGTAACCCCAGCACTTTGGGAGGTTAAGGTGGGCCAATCATCTGAGCTCACGAGTTCAAGACTAGTCTGAGCTAGAGTGAGACCTCATCTCTAAAAATAGCCTGGCGTTGTGGCAGGTGCCTGTAATCCCAGCTACTCGGGAGGCTGAGGCAAGAGAATCACTTGAGCCAAAGAGTTAGAGGTTGCTGTGAGCTATGACGCCAGGGCATTCTA